GCTTCCTACCACTTCCTTCATTCTGGGAGCGCCAGGCCAGGAAGCAGTGCATTTACCACCCTAATCTAAAGTCAGCCCAACTTCTAGATTCTTTTCAAGCTAGGTTTAGGCTCTTTTAAAAGTCAAAGTCCCCCACCCAGCCACATCCCACCCAGGAAGTTCAGGTTACAAACCTCCAGCATAGCAAGCTTCCAGAATCCACAAGTCAGAATTTTGCAACCATAATTATATTGCTAATGAAACCAAATTAAAGTTTACCTCAAGGAGAGGAAGGGAACACCCTAGCCCCAAGTTTTAAAGGGGGTTATAAACCAGCAGTCTTGGAGTGGGGAATGGGGTAAGGGCAGCGGCAGGATGAACCAGTAAGGGGGTGGGGCACCCAACCTCTAACTAACAATTTCTCCAGCATAAAAATGAAACATCAAATTCGTTAGCCCAGGGCCTTCATTTTTCCCCTTCCACATTATAACTAGTTATTGAACTCAGTGGAAGATCTAAAGGCCATTTGCGAAGAGACAAATTTCAATGGAGTTTCCCCATCAATAACCCCATGGCAGTGACCTATTGGAACAAGTCAAACACCCGAGGTGAAATGCAGGTCACTCCGTCTAACCAATATTAAAATGCGGCCACTTTTTAAAAAGCCACTTTAAACGAGATTTGAGGAAAATTGAATTCCAAGCAAGGCCAGGCGGGGGAAATCCACGAGAGGACCTGCCTATGGTCTCAGAACAAACAAGAGAAATTCATCTTTAATATTTTAAAGGGGTGCAAATTAACATTCCATGATTGCTTTTTTTTTTAAAGACTATAAGCGATTCGGGGCGGGGTGGGGGGGAAGGGTTGAGTATTTTCTGGTGACACGTCCGGGTTATTAAAATCATTTTAGACCAATTCATTACTTTTACTGACAAGAGATTTAAGAAAAAATCAATTAAGCATTTGCATATTCTTTTGCATATATTAGCCCTGCCTGCTGGCATCAGAAAGGGACAAAAACACACATATATCCACATACACACAGACACAAAAGAGGGGAAAAAATGTTTTTTAAAAGCCTTGTTTTAGTCTGAGGTTTTCAAGTTGCCTGGAGAAAAAAAAATCAAAATGAAATGAATTGCCTAATTGCATACCATCTAAAAAGTCCATTTGTTTGAAGGAAAGGAAAAGAGACATGTTGCAATTTTTAATCCCTAGAACAACAACAAAACACACACAGAAGGCAAAAGACAAACCCGTCCCCCAAGCCCCTGCACTTCGGGGCGTAGGGGAAGGAGTGACCCTCGTTTTCTTTCCCCTTTGCCCTCCAAATCCTGAATTGATTCTTTCATTTATTTCTCTTCCTCAGAAAATGCAGGGAGTGTGAGAGGTGAGATTTTAATGCAGCCAGGAAATCTGTGGAGCCGCTGAGGGCTCTTAGCGGCAGCTTGTTACTGGGGAGGGGAGGAATATGGGTTATCCAACGGTCAGTATGGTAATCCGGGCACAATAAGGCCTCACACACAATGGACACATATTTTTCTTCAGCGGTGTCAGAAGGGAAGCGCTTTGTACTGAAACATGTTTCCGAAAGAGAAACCAGATCGAGATTTAGAAAGGAGATGGGGTGGGGGCAGCGAGTAGAGTGCGTTTGGATGCTGAGCAAAAGCTGGTTGGGGTGGGGGGGGAAATAAACCAAATCATAATAAAACGGGGGCAGAGTGAGATGGAGGGCAGAGCAAGGTGGAGGTCCGGGAGCTGGCAGGAGGGCCAGCCACAAAAGGCCAGAGGACCAGACAGGAGGATTCGGCAGAGGCACCCTGGTACCCCGTGCCCATCCCAGTTAAGCCATTGCTAAGTGCAGGAGCCCTCCAAAAGGATTTTCTTTCTGTGTTTGTAGTAAACCCCAGGTAAAATGTTTGTATGTATGTGTATGTGGCGAGACATTGTGCCCATGTGATAGGCGACTTTCTTGTTAGTGAACTAGGAGCCAAGGGAAGGTGGGCTTTTGTGTTTGGTTTGCATATATGTATATATATACACATATATTGTATATATACATATATATTGTATATATATATATAATAACATAGATGAAGGGTGGGCACATTTGGGAGAAATCTAGATTTTTCATTCTGGATCTGCATGCTGAGTTAGCTATGCAAGCCTGGAAGCCGTGTATTCTTTTAACAAATATTAGCAGTACGTTTGCATATGTGTGATAGCCATGATAACCAAAGACAGACTGGTGGAGCCATCTGACCCCTACATGTCCATTCACCATGCTGACCTGAAGAGGGGCTCCCTGACCCACCCGCAGAAACCTGGGATTAGGAAGCTAGAAGATGACGATAGGCACTGCCTTAGGAAGGACTCCCTAACAACCCCGGGGAGGGGGCAGAAATTGAAGCTAGAAGGGCTCTGGTGGGGGCTGGACAAGGGAGTGGGCAGGCTGGCAGGTCCTCTTTTCAGGTGGGGAAAAGAAGCAGCCCAGCCAGGAACAGGTGAGGTGCTGCAGCCAGGTATGGGCCTAGAAGGAAGATTAGGGTGAGGGTGGGACCAGGAGGGAGGTGTCTCTTTTCATTAACACCCCCCCCCCAACCTGAGAGACCTGGGATTTTCGGCTCTCCCCAGGGGGCAGTCTGGGCTGCAGTTCAGACCAGTGTAGTTAAGGATACAGTATGGGTTTGCTACGCCCTTTCGCAGCAACTGATAATAACTCCTGCCACCCCCTCCACTAATAATTACAGAAAAGGAAATCAGCATACAACTGCAAAATACTACCATCTAATCAGCAACCGCTTCACCCAACTCTTCATCCCTCAGTCTCAAGTGCCTTTCCCAACCACAGCAGCTCACGTCCTCTCACGGACAGAGGGTCTGGTCTGGGACCTGGCAAAGGGTCTCAGACGACTGGGAATTTGGAATCTCTGCTGGAGATGCTAGACTTCCAAGAAATTCCATTTCCTTCAACTAGCTGGGGGCAGTGGGAGTGGGGTACTGCCTCTTTGGGGAGAAGGTACGGTGGGGGACTCCCACATACAAGCTCCTGCTCCTGCCATGCTAAACACTGGCCCTGGTGGGCTTGGCTTTGGGTTGGGTTGGAGGAAAGAAGGCAGGAAATCCAGCCCCTCTGGGCATTGCCTCTGGCCCAGGGCCCCATTTCACCCCAGCCCTCCCTCTGGGTGAGCCCTGCTTTGAAAGCAGACACCCCTTTCCTGGTCCCAGGGAAGAAGAGGAAAGGGTTGGAAATCTTCTGCCTTCCCTCTCCTTCTCACAAGGGCTTTATTATTTTTTTTTTCCCTTTCCCCTCCTCATTCCCTTAATTGCAGATGTTCTAATTAAACCCTCAAATAGTTGTTATGCCGTTTTAAAAGGTACTTATTCAAGTGTCAACCAGGCTGGGCTGGGAGGAGGCAGCGTTAGGGCGGCGAATTAAAGGTAGATTGACTAATCACGGCGGCGATCATAATAATAAAATCAGAGGGAAAAAAATCACATTACGACTTTTCGTGGTAAGGAGGGAGCAGGCAGCCAGCGGCCGCCAGCCCTGCGCCGCTGCAGCCGCCGACACAAAGAGTGCGGGCGATTCTGTGAGACTGATTTATGACGTTTTACAGCCCTATAAAAGCTGTAGCGACGAGGCAAGCGCTCCTACCACCGCTGGCAGATTTAGTCTAATAAATAAAACATAAACAGTTAACTTTATGTGTCACTTTTATTGTTATCAAGTAAAATATAGCCAAGTCCCGGCAAGCTATGATTTTAAACTATAATTGTTATCAAGTACAACAAGGGGACCCGGCTCCCTCCCTGGGCTCTCCCTTCTGCTACCCCCCAACTCCTAGTTATGAAAGATCAGTTAATTGGAATTGGTGGCATGACGTGGCCACCCCTACGGGGGGGAGGGGTAAAAAGCAGCCCTTCGTAACTGCCCCCGCCCCCAACTCGGTGGTCTTGCTAGCCCTCGCTGCACCCACCAGGGTGTTACTGTCCGCCTGACTGGTAGACAGAAGGAGGGGGTGGACACCTCCACAGCCCTCCCTACGTCCTCCCCCCAGCACGGTGAGCTCTCAGCTTTTGGAAGACAGCCGGGAGCTGGCCTAAGGAATGCGTGTTTACATGTAAACACACGTGTTACATAGATACAGTGAGGGCCGGAAGCACAGTCTCTATCCCCTCAGGCCTCCCCCTCCTAGCTAGGTCGGTTGGCCCTCTAAGGGATGGAGGCTTTCAGCCAAAGCTTGGGGCCTTGGCTTGCTCTCCATCAACCAGGACACTGACTCCTCCTGCCCCTATTTCCCCCAGGCTCCAACCTGGGAGGAAGTGGCTGGAAAGGAGCAAGCCAGTGGCTGCAGGCATGCAGAGTGGCCACTGGACACAGCAGTAGAAGCCAGCCTCTGCTCTGGGGCTGGGAGTGGACTGGGGCTGGGAGGGACAGTGGGCAGTCTGGGAGGGTACCGCTTCTGGTCTGCTTTTGCCAACCACTTCCTGTCTCTCTTCAGCCCGGGGGCACAACCCCCAGACCTCCAGATATGAGCAGAATCATTTGCACCCAGCTGCCTCTACCTGCCTGGTCCAGCTGGGAGCCTGCCTCGCCGGCCCAGCCCCATGGCCAGAGGGTTGGGTGAGTGTATTCCTGGGAGTGGGGCTGGATTCTGGGGTGTCCTTGGATGGAGGGGACATCCAAGCCTCTGTCCAGCCACCTGGCTGGGCCTGGGCCCCTCCCCATCCAACCTCCACTCCAGTCTTCCTTCAACTTCCTCTTCCTGCGAAAGAGGGGCGCTGCCCAGAGACCTACACAGACTGAGAAACCGTGGAAATGAATGAATGGAGACCGCTGGAAAAACCCACTGGAGACTGGAGAGAAGATCCCAAGCTTGGAGGGGGGGGGCTGAATCCCAGCCTCCCGGGGGCTCCCCCCTTCCGCTTGCTTCCCCAATGCCCAGGCTGTGCAGCTAGGAGCCTCCCACCTCGTTTTTTGCAAGACGAGGTTGTCAGTCTGGCAGCAGGGTGTGTGCTGGGGTGGGGGGGCACCCCAGCCCCTGCCAGCCAACCCCACATCACCGCCCCCCCCCACCCTTCAAGCAGCAGCACCACCACCACACACACAAAAAATTGGATACATTTTGAATAAAGCGATTCGGTTCCTTATCCGGGGACTGGGTTGCTCCGTGTGATTGGCCGGCGGAGTCACATGGTGAAAGTAACTTTACAGGGTCGCTAGCTAGTAGGAGGGCTTTATGGAGCAGAAAAACGACAAAGCGAGAAAAATTATTTTCCACTCCAGAAATTAATGATCATGAGCTCGTATTTGATGGACTCTAACTACATCGATCCGAAATTTCCTCCATGCGAAGAATATTCGCAAAATAGCTACATCCCTGAACACAGTCCGGAATATTACGGCCGGACCAGGGAATCGGGATACCAGCATCACCACCAGGAGCTGTACCCACCACCGCCTCCGCGCCCCAGCTACCCCGAGCGCCAGTATAGCTGCACCAGTCTCCAGGGGCCGGGCAATTCGCGAGGCCACGGGCCGGCCCAGGCGGGCCACCACCACCCCGAGAAATCGCAGCCACTCTGTGAGCCGGCGCCTCTCTCGGGCGCCTCCGCCTCCCCGTCCCCAGCCCCGCCAGCCTGCAGCCAACCAGCCCCCGACCATCCCTCCAGCGCCGCCAGCAAGCAACCCATAGTCTACCCCTGGATGAAGAAAATCCACGTGAGCACGGGTAGGCAACTTTGCGTTCTGCTCCCATCCCCACCCCCCCTCTTCCCTGGCGCTCCCCACCCTCCCTGGGCCCCCTCTGGCCCCGTCCTCCTTTCTCTCCTTCCCCCTCTCTCTCCAGGAGCGACTCTGGGTTAGCACAATTGAACTGGATTTACGAGCGAGAATGGGTAATTACATCCCCCATAAATTTTATGGCTTAGCTACTCTGGGCAGTCCGAGCCATGTGCTACGATCTGTTATGTATGTGTGAAAACTATGCTCGCTTTCTAAGGGCGCATAAATAATTCAGTGTCGTTACAATGAGGATTCCCCTCTTATTACACTACAAAGTCGCCAGCTTCCTTCAACTTCTTTATAACCCATTTAGCCGGATGACTTTATTTCCACCACTCCCGCCTCCTTGTGCCTCTGAGCTGAGGATGGGGTGAGGGGGTGGGGGCTGGGGAGCCTGCTGCCTCTGAACCCCACTCTCTGCTTCTCCCTCTCCCTTCCCCCCAACCCAGTGAACCCCAATTATAACGGAGGGGAACCCAAGCGCTCGAGGACCGCCTACACGCGGCAGCAAGTCCTGGAATTAGAGAAAGAGTTTCATTACAACCGCTACCTGACCCGGAGGAGAAGGATCGAGATCGCCCACTCGCTGTGCCTCTCCGAGAGGCAGATCAAAATCTGGTTCCAAAACCGCCGCATGAAATGGAAGAAGGATCATCGCCTCCCCAACACCAAAGTCAGGTCAGCGCCCCCGGCCGGCGCCGCGCCCAGCACCCTGTCGGCAGCTACCCCGGGCACTTCTGAAGACCACTCCCAGAGCGCCACACCGCCGGAGCAGCAGCGGGCAGAGGACATTACCAGGTTATAAAACACCGCTCACACCCCTGCCCCCACCCCAGGCCCCCGCCGCCTCCCCTCACACACAGATTGACTCTTATTTATAGAATTTAATATATATATATATTTTGGTTCTTTTCTCGCTTCCTCCCACCTGGTCCCCTCGTCAATTCCAAACAGACAAAACAGATAAACAAACAAGCTCCGGGCCCTGCTTCCTTCCACTGTAAAGCACCCTTTTAAGCATGTGATGTTGTCTTAGCATGGTACCTGCTGGGTTGATTTTTTTTCTTTTTAAATGCCATGGATTGGGGGTGGGGGGGTATTTATTTTTTAAGAAAAAGCGAAAGATGCAAAAATTATATATTGCAAGTGCGACGGTCTGGTTTGGGTGCATTTCAGGGGAAATGAGGAAAAGAAAAAAAAGGAAAGAGATTTTTTTAAAGCCAATTTTTGACCTCCTTCCCCCCTCTCCTTTAGGCCTTTTGCATTGGAAATGCACGAGGGAGGTTAGTGAGGGGGAAGTCATTTTAAGGAGAACAAAGCTATGAAGTTCTTTTGTATTATGGGGGGGTGGGTGGGAGGAGAGTGGGGAGCCGGCAGACAAAGCTGAAATGTGGCTGAGGAGCGTCTCTGAGCTGTTCATTTCCAGGAACCAAAAGAAAATCAGAATGAACTTTAAGTTGGGAAGAGGCAGTCTGTAGGTAGCGTTGCCCCCACCCTGGTCATGGTGATTGTGTTTTCGGACTGAATTTACTCGATTATTGTAACACTTGCAATAAAGAATTTTAGTGTCCATGTGAAGTGCCCCGTGATCAATAATAAACCAGTGGATGTGAATTAGTTTTACGTCAGTGTCTGTCTGATGGTTTCTTTTTGTGTCCCCCCTTCTCCGCCTCCTGGCCTGGTACTGTGCCACCTCTTCCAGAGTTACTTAAACTTTTTTTTTTTTTTCCTTTCAGAGCCAGGGGAAGGTTTTTCTCCTGTTCCCCTGTCTCAGTGCCCAGAGCGGCTGGACTCCCCGCTAACTGCAGCCCCAGAGTTAATGATAGTGGAATTTGGGGGCGGGGGAGGTCTTGACTTTTCAATAGTTAGCCACAGTCCCTTCTTTTTTTGTCTGTTTTTTACTCTCTTTCCCTTCTCTCTGCAGAGTGGGCCCTGTGTGGTTTGCAGAAGGTACATTTAAGGTGGTGGGACCGAGAGGAGTTTTCGGCCCCCAGAGCTCTTTGGAGTGAAGGATGGAGGTGGTAGTTGGCCCCTCCATGACACTTCCAGTCTCTACAAAGCAACCAGGTTTTGAGCTGGGGATTCTGGAACTGCAAAGGGCTCTATCAGAGAGGCTTGGCTGTTTGTTTAGACTTGGGGGAAAAGGGTGAAGTGGAGGCCAGAGGCCTGGGGGGCCTCCTAGCATGGGCAGGCCTCAAAGGCTGATGGCTGGAGATAATGAAGGACTTTCATGTTTTCCTCTAACTTTTATCAGGGATCTGCCAGGTGTCCAGAAGAGCAGAAAGGGACAAAGACCACCCTTCTTCCCACAACCTCCCAGAACCTACCAGCACGAGTAGCCTGTACAAGGCACACGCTCGCTTGCTCTCTCTCTCTCTCTTTGGCTGCGAAATAAATTAATTAAATAAAATTGTTTCCTTGGGGCTAAGGGGGGGGGGGGGAAACTGGCCTAAATTACATGAATAATTAATTCAAGCCAAAAATTCCAAATAATTCTGGTCCTGAACATCAGGCCCCAGGCAAGGCCTGTTCAATTTTTCACTTGTTTGTTGGGGGAAGGTGGGGGGAGGGCAGTTGATGAGTTGTCTTTGAAGCAGTGGATCCAAACTGCAGGCAGAGCAGAGAGGGAGAAGGGCTCTGGGGGCAAATTGGGAGAGCAGGGGAGCCAGGGACACTTCTTTGCTTCTGTGCCCAAGTTCTGGGACCAAGTTGGGTTGATTTGCTCCCAGCCCACTTGCTGGCTGGATGCTCGGAGAAGTGTGTGTGTGTGTGTGTGTATACCTCCATGTTGGGGGACTCCTTGGTCCTTTGGGGGTGCTGCTTGCTCCTCCCTGAATTGTCCCCAGGGGACAGCAAAAACATGTTGCCTACAGTGTGGGAAAGCAGTAGCAGCTCGGATCTGGGATCTGGAATCTGGAGTGATTTTGTGGAATCAGGTTGAATGAAGGGCCAGATCTCAGGGTATAACCCGAGTCATCCTGAGCCAGTGGCTTTGGTGTGGGTAAGGGAGCAGACGGAGCTGAGCTTGGGAGAAGGGAAGGACAGTAATCTGATGGGTGTCTTTTCAAGCCTGAACAGGCTGAAGTTTAAAAAGCATGGGGCTGGTTGCAAGGGCTGAGGGTAAGGAGGAGATGGCTCTATTTCATTGCTGGGGTTTCCCCCTGGAACTTGCTGCAGGGACACTGTAAAGCGGCCTGCAAGCGGCCTGCAGGGATCAGGACATTGAGTTTCTCTCCACTTCTTGCTGGGTGCCTGTCCCATTGCACCTCTCTCTCACACACAAGCCTTCTCTGGGTGTCTCAGTCCTTCCTTAGAGAGGAACAATGTTGTAAATCTAATTTTTGACCAATGAATCAAGAAGCTTTCCAGTTAGTTTGGGGGAGGCGGGGGAGGGATTTTGGCCCCAAGTCTTTCTGCCCTAGAGCTCCATTTTCTCTCCCCACCTCCCTAGGACCTGACCACCTAAAATGAGCAGACTTTACTCCTCCCTCCCCTAAGCCGAGTTCCCACAGCCTTGTGCTCTGCTGCCTGGGCCCCTGATGTTGCTTACAGCAAGGCTGGGAAAGCCCAGGGCCCCAGGGTTTTATTGAAGTTGGGTTGAGCAGCAGGGAATGGCTGCTGGGTTCACGGGGAGGACAAGGCATTTTCTCTCCCATTGCCTTTCTATTCGGGAGTGCCTCTGACCTCTCCCCCACCCCCATCGCCAACCCTCCCAAGCCAGCCCATGCTCAGCACCCCCACCCGGGTCTCCCAGATTAGGATGCCACACCGCTTTGTAGGGTTGTGGATTTTTTTTGCCCAGAGTCTTGGGAGAGGCCAGCGCACATACAGACACATAGGCATGCATGCACGCCCTGCTGGCGCCTTGTAGCACTCACTTGTTACAGTGGCTGAGGAAGAGGAAGATGGGGGTGCAAGACCACCTGACCTTGCCCGGCTCCTTCTCTACAGATGTCACCACCGGAGAGCACCCCCCCCCCATATCCCTGTCATGTAAGTAGTTAGCACTCCGTCTACTCTGGGGAAATTGAGGAACAGGAAACTTTTACATTCTTTCTCGTGTGTTCCGCGGGTTTTGTTTTCCGGGTCCAGTCTCCTGAAGGAAGGGAGGGAAGGCGGGAAAGTTGCCTACAAAGCAGTCCTATTTCTGGACGAAGGAGTTTCTGGGCCAGATCTGGGTACCTGGGCAGTGAAGAATTTTGGCTTTGAAAATGTGTGTGTGTGTGTGTGTGTGTGTGTGTGAGAGAGAGAGAGAGAGAGAGAGCGAGAAGCATGCACCAGAGAACAAGTGAGATTGGGCACTAGGAGTCTCTGGAGGCGTTTCCCGTTGTTGGCTGCCGTTGGTGAAGTTTTGCTACAAACTTTTCTCAACAACCTGTGCATTAGCTGCCTTCCTAAGGGGAGTGGGCAGATTCAAGTCCAGAGAGATCTTGCTGCTGCTGCTGCTGTGTGTGTGTGTGTGTGTGCACGCGCAACAGTGAAGGTTAGTGCTCTATTAAGCACCCACTTTGCCAGCTTTTCTAGGACTAGAAGAGACGGACTCCCCCATGAGATGGAGGGTGTAGTGCTGGGGTACAGGGAGGGGATGCTGTTGGATAGGCCAGTGCCATCATGTCTCTCTTTGGTTTTGGTCCACCCAGGGGAAAATGCAGTAGCAGCACAAGTAATCTGCTTGTCAAGGTGCTTCTGGCTGGGGAGCTGATGCCAAGCCAGACGCTGCTCTTCAGGGCATCCCTCCCCAGCTGGGAAAGGGAGTCCGCATGAGGAGGATGCTCCATCTCTAAACGGCCACCAAAGCACAGGGAATATTTATTACCTCTCAGGGTGTCATTACCCAAGAATACAATTTTATGAACTTCCTCATCTGTTCCTTTGATTTATCTGGATGGGCAAGGGCCCAAAAGAAACATTTGGGGGGGAAAGCATTTCTCTCCCGCCACTCTCTCCGGTGGAACTCCGCAGCTGCCCCCTTGGTCTTTCTGCACCCCGCATCTGCATAGCTCTAGCCCCATTTCTGTTTCCCTCCTTTCCTCCAGTGTAGCCGAACCCAAAACAGTGGGTGCCTCATCTCACTGGCGGATTCTCTCAGAAACCTTGTATCCAGTGCAGTTCAGGAAGCTCTGAGCTTTGCTTATTTCCTTTTTTCTTTAAACCCGAGAAGCAGAGCTAGCCGAGGCGAGGTTCGCTCCGCCGGCCCTGTGTGGCTTTCCCGCCATTCGGTCGCGTCCTCCCAGCCGCAGGGAGGACGGGGGGCCTTGTCCGCTTCGTCATCCCCGCTCGCCTTAGCAGACCCGCGGAGCGGGCTCCGCAGCAACGTCAAGGGGATTGGAGTGATTGGGGTCGTCGAGGGGTTTGGGGTGACAAAGGCTAGACGGGAAGTTAGATCCTCAAGGCCCGAATCCCTCATCCCAGGGTCTTGGGAGCCTGCTCCACCTTGGCTCGCTCGTGCCTGACCCCTCTGTGCCCCGCAGCAGGGACTGCAAGGGGAGCGCCTCCTAGAATTCCCGAGATGGTGCCCCCCCAAAATGCACCCCCAAAATGGAGTGTACGTCTGCGGAGACCCGGCCAAACAGCCAACTCTCCGGGGCTCTCCTTCGCTACCGGCCGGAGAGCACAGGGCGAAGCGCCGCGGTCTCCCAAGCTGGGTCGGGGCCGGGATGGCGGCGATTCGGCAGGCGGCAGGTCCGGTTCCCTGCCCAGGGCGAGGCTCAGGACGCCGGGCCGGCTCCTCCTTGGGGTCCAGGAGGCCGGTCCGCTCCGGCCGGGGTGTCGCCCAGGGCTGGGTCACGACCCCAGGCTGGGGCGGGGGACAATAGGGCCCGGGGCGGAGGCCGCGGGCTGCGTGGCCGGCGAGGCGGGTTCACAGCGCGGTGAACTCGGTTCGGTCTCGGGGGTCTCGCCCTCTGGTCTCAACCTTACTCCTTAGCTTTCCCCTCGTCCGCTTCTGGCTTTTCTTTCCTCGTGGAAAATTGAGCGAACACCTGATTGCGCTTGACCAATACCCTGTCTTTACTACCGCCAAATAAGGAGGTTTCTTCAGATACATAAATATATAATAAGAAAGAGTTTTCTCTAGGTTCCAGAGCAGGACCCTGGGCACATCTTTGAGGGGATGGAGAAGAGAGAGGCAATTCTTCGGTTTCGGGACTGGAACATTTCCTGAAGTATTCCCAGCCCCCAAACCCACACTACCCCCATCAAAGGAATTCCAGGCAGGAATGCCCCCCTCCTGCCCCATCTTGGAAAGAATTCCCTTCTCCCTTTCCTGGCCTTTGTCTCTGGGTGCCAGGTTAGGATTCGGGCCTTCATAAGAAGAAAAATGAGATCTCAAATCCCAAGGGCTGGGCTGGGGCTGGGCTGCTGATAGGGGTGTGTAGGAGGGGAAAGAGAGGGGAGTCACTCCCGTGAAGGGCCCCAAAATGGTTTGTTCCTGTTGGAGAGTTCTCCCTCTTTACCGCAGCAAAGGCTTGGCTTTCTTTTTCCGCTCTCTTTTAAGTGTTTATTTTCATCTACTTGAAAGGCAGAGTGACAGAGTTCTTCCACCCCCCTGATTCACACCCTATGTGTCCTCAAAAGCCAGAGCTGGGCCAGGTTAAAGCCAGGAGCCTGGAAAAATCCCTCTG